AAGTCTTTGTCTTTGATTGTGGGAGGTGTGCTCTCACAGAGAACGTAGAGATGGTTCCCTGATCTTAAAGTATGATGGCAGCCTGGCAGTTTTAAATTCTTTATTCTGGAAGACATGAGACAAAGAAAGGAGTTACTCTTAAGTTCAGGAAAAATTGACCTTAATTATCATGAAGAATTAGGGGTGCTTCCCTGACCAGTAGTAACATTAGACAGGCAATTGCAGCTCTGCTGCATGACAGGTAACAGAGCAGGATAACCAAGACCTCTGATACTTCACAAATGAAGATCTTGGTCTCCATCAGGGAAGCAGTCTTGACTAGTCGTCGTGTTAGAGGAGGACAAAGGAAACCAATATGGATGGTAGAGGAAGGCAATGATGAATTTCAATTTCAGCCTTGGGATGAGCTGTAGTGACAAAGATTGTAGTTTATTCCACTAACTCACCCTTTTAAATTCTGTTTATAAAGTATATGACTGGTTACCATCCTCCACGCTGAGTGAGGCAGCAAGAGTACATGTGGGTAGGGCAAGTTGGGGACTGGAGCTGATGCCCAGCCTAAACTACCTTGTCCCACTTAAGTTTACCGGATGTTGCCTTAGACAGCTTTCAGCAAGCTGACAGATTATTGTTGGAAGTGTTTGCATTCTTCTCCTCTGCCTGAGGGCTTTCTCTGGCGCTGAGGGAGTCTGCCATCATCCAGCCAGTGGAGATGTCAGGTAATGTGTTAAACAAAGGGAGAGTAAAAGTGGATTGACTGATCTGCTGAAACTTGCATCACATAATTTTATTGTTATTCTGTGGGGATAATTTAGGTCTTTCTTAGGGAGAGGGTAGGTTCATACTAAGATCAGAAGATTTCAGTAATCAACTAATTTAGTCATTCATTCAGTATCAATCTTAAATCAATATCAGTGATTCTAGATATAATTATTTTTTTTTGAAGATACAAAGATAGTGATGGTAAGAGCTGATATTTATTGTGCAGTTATTATGTGCTTTAGCACGAATCATCTTATTTAATCTCAATAATAACTTCATGATGACAATGCAATTGTTATCTGCACTTGACAGCTGATGAAACAGGGCTGAGAGGATATATTATTTGTTCAGGGCCACCAATTAATGAGTGGCAGAGCCCGGAACCAGTTCCCTCTGAGTACTGAGCGCAAGGACTCAATCTCCCTACTCTACAATCTCTTTGAAAAGGTACTCCTCCATGCCCTGAAGTCTCTCCAAAGGAGAGAAGGACCCTGCAGGACGTGAAGTTAAACCTAGATTTGTGCTCTCACGGTAACAAGTTTAAGTGGTATGGGGTTTACAGAAACCTGACTTTCTACTCATTGACCTACTCAGCTGGGAGAGGCTGACCCAGTGCATTGGCAACAATTGGTGTTGGAGGATGGCTCAGCCATTCCTGTCTCCCAATTGGAATTATGAGCGGGCAGAGAGGAGCCCAAGGTGTTCCTGATATCAAGGGCACCCTCTCAGGTGGCTCCCACACACAGCTCAGTCCCTCCAGCCTCTGCACGAGCTCTTCCCCAAGGTATGATAGAAATTGGAGGCAATTATTTTGATTCATTCATTAACCAGGGGCTTAGGGACTTTTTCTGAGTCCTCTCTGTGGTTTGTAAGATGGTATCCTCCTGCCTGTTGCTCTGGAGCTCAAAGGCAGACACAGAGAGCTCAGGAGGTCCTGGGCTCACAGAGGCTTTCTCACGTTTTTGTTCCTGGTGTCCTCAACAGAGGCTGAGGACTCAGGAAACTGGATTAGAAGGTGCCTGAGCTCACCAAGAACTGAAACAGGTCAGAGTGAGCTGAGAACTCTAGGTGGGTGAGGTGTGTCTCTGTGTCTAGAGGTCTGTATATGTATTCCACATGGGTCTGTGTGGTGGTTCTTTGCTCCTATAATGTTTATATATGAGTGTTTTCTTCATGAGTTTTGTTGTGCGTGTGTGTGTTTGTCTGCGTGTGTGTGATATATAATTGACTCTCAGTCTTATTCTTTTCCTCTCTTAGACCCAGAACATATACCTCTAAATGAGAGTTGCCCCATTAGGCATGTGTAGGGCATTTGTGTGTTGGAGTTGGGATTTCCTCATCAGTCCCTTTGATTTCAAGTATTTGCCTCACTCATTTTATAACTCCCACTTTTCCTCTTTGGACAGACATCATAGGTAAGTAAATGAGACAGTAGAGTCTGAAGAGAGACAGATGTGCTCCCCAGTCTGAAGCAGAAGTTTCCTAAATTTACCTGTGACCAGCATTATGTGAGAGGTCTTGAAATCTCTACTCGGTGATGTGTGTGTGTGAGCTTACATTTTGTTTATGAGTTATATTTGTATGTGATTCCAAACGTTTAGAGTATGTGTTGTGCGTTTGTATTTGATGACGTTTTCTTTGCAGGTGGTGTTTGTGTGGTGGTTCCTGTGAGTGAATGGGGCCCAAGTGTTTCACTCACTGATCACTTTCCTCTATGTTGGGTGCAGGGCAGTGGGGGCTGGAACATCTCATTTTGCAAGGAGGGTATACGTGTGTGACCATGTGTTGTTTATTGCCTGACCGTGAAGAGGCCTGTGTGTGCAATGGTTTTATTTCTTGTATGATTTATGTATGATGTGTGTGACATTTGGGTTTTTTGTTGTATTAACATATGTTTTTCCATGTGTGAGTATATATTCAGAGTACGAGATTATACACCTGATATGTGAATTTTGTGTGTTGCTGGTTGTTTGATGTTTGTGTTGAGATTATACAAGTGTTTATGTGTGGTTTTGTGGGTTATTTGAATGTTGTGTATTCAATTTTGTGTATTATTTCTGAGTTTTGTTTTTATGACTCTTTGGGTAACTAAGCCATATTATTACTGTCCTTCTTTTAGGATCACTATAGGTCACAGATGGCAAGAAATCACAAATCAGCAATTTAAGTGTGCACGCATGTATGTGTGTACGTGTTTCCTGGACGTGGTTTAGGGTCTTCTGGTTGGCGCCTATGAACTAATATGTTTCCTTAGCTGTCTTTCAACAGTGACCACATTACTGCATTGAGCAGGCAGGTTCACGTGCATTTCCACTGCTGGGCAGGTGTCATACACTAATAGATATGACCTCAGTGTCTGCAATACCTCAGACTGCAGCCCAATCATTAGTCTGGCCCTTATATGTTTTTTCTGACTTTGATAAGTGACTTCATCTCTCTGAGGTGCAGATTCTTCACTGGTAAAGGGGGGGTAACTATTCCTACTTCACAATGCTATTCTGAGGATGAAACAAGGCAATGCATACAAATCATTCAGCATCATGCCTGGCACATAATTGGTGCTCAGTAAAAAGGAGGTATTTTTATTATCTTGCCCCAAATCTAATTTTATGTCTCCATTGCCTGGGGCAGGACAAGTAGAAGTCAGGGAAATCTGGCCCATCCAAAGGCTCCCTCTCACACTTCAAGGTCACACATGATGGCCTTTCCAGTGCCCAGGACCCAGCTGCCTCCTTCACAAGGTCCTGCTTGAATCAAGGTTCCTGGTTGGTTCTGGCCCTCTTGTTTTCTTATGGTTTCCTGGTGAGGACTGACACAGCATGTCTCATTGAACAGCCAGGCCTCCCCATAAGGGTCAGTCATTGTCCTCCTTGGTGGCCATGAACTGAGATAATCAGTGGCCCTGAGCAAGTTCTTGGTCCCTGAGGAGGACTTGCTGTCTTGCTCCATTACTTAAGTGAGAACGTCAGTCTTGGTTCCGTCTTCAGGAGTCTGTGGCCCGGGTAATCCCTAGGTCTATCCTAAGTTCCAAATAAATATTGAATCTGGAAAATACCATCAAAGAGCTGAGTCACTGTAGGTAAGTCATTTATCTCTTTAGCTTCGGTTTTTATATCTATAAAATGAAGACATAGTATTTTCCTTGTGTACCAAATAGTCCCTAAATACATAATTATTGATTCAAGAAAAATTAAAGCATGTGAATCCCTTTGCAAATTGTATGATGTATAAATGTGAGTGGTAAATTTTTCTTAGCAGAGAGCTAAGGACATTTTGGACAAAGGTAGCTGATGCAACACAGCTTGTCTGGATATTCTAACTAATGAGGGTATAATTTCTATTCAGAGTGGTTAAGAGATGGATTCTGGTCAGACAGAAATATGCTATGATTCCAACTGTCCCACTTAATTGTGTGTACCTTTGCACATTTAAATAATGTACACTTTTGTTTTCTCATAATAAAATGATAATAATAATACCCATTTATTAGGGCTACAGTGTGGATTTAATTTGAAAGTGCATGTAAAATATTTGGAATAGTGCCTGGCACTATTATTAATGTTGATTTGGAAACCTGGATTGGACACGTTTGGTATCAGGGAATTTTAAATGACTCAAAATAGGTATGACCCAGTCAATTACATTGAAAGTTTGTGACAAAGCTTTACCAATTATTTTCCAACTTAGGGAGTTTCACATCCCTTTTAAGAGGAAATGGCTAATACCTCTTTCCCTGTGCCAATTTCACATACAATCTTGGTAAATTATTGAGATGTGAACCTGCCTAGATATAAAGATGTAAACTCCTGAACATAGAGACTTCCCGTTTCTTGTTCACTACTATGTACTCAATATGGGACAAAGCTTTTGTTCAACAAATACTTGTTGAATAAAGAATAGACATTCTTTGGTTTCTTTGGAAAGAAACTTGGTTAATGTGAGGGTTTGGTGTATCCTTGGAGCCAGAAAGGGACAGACTGATTCACGCACCAACAATTGTGAGAAATAAACAGAAAGATAGCTAAAATTAAGAATTTTCTTACTAAAAGGACATTATATAGAGTTATGGCATATTCACTGACATTTCCCACTTTCCCAAATTCCGAGCAGAGATAAGAGCAGTATGAGCAGGGAGAACCAGAGCAACGTGTCTTAATTCCTTCTCCTGGGGCTCCCCATATGGCCGGGGCAGCAGAGCATATTCTTAGCCCCGTTCCTCGGCACGTACCTGACCACAGTGCTGGGGAACCTGCTTACCATCCTGCTCATCGGGCTGGACTCTTGCGTCCACACCCCCATGTACTTCTTCCTTAGCTACTTGGCTTTCACTGATGTTTCTTTCTCATCTGTCACTGTTCCTAAAGTGTTGATGGACATGCACACTAACCACAAGTCTGTCCCCTTCACAGGGTGCATTTCCCAGATGTATTTTTCCATATTTTTTGGTTGTCTTGACAATTTCCTTCTTGGAGTGATGGCATATGACAGGCATGTGGCCATCTATCACCCACTCCAATACACAATTGTTATGAGGCAGGAGCTGTGTGTCTCATTAGTAGCTGGGTCCTGGTTCTTCAGTTGTGCACATGCCCTGTTGCACACCCTCCTCTTGGTCCAACTGTCCTTCTGTGATGACAATACCATCCCCAACTTCTTCTGTAACCTCTCTGTGCTCCTGAAGATGAACTGCTCAGACGTCTACCTCAATGAGCTGGTCATGTTCAGCGAGGGAGGAATGTTGGTCATCCTGCCTTTGAGTAGTTGGGCTCTTATATCCATATAGTGACCACCATCCTGAGGGTCCTCTCCATGAAGAGATTCTTCAAAACCTTTTCTACATGTGGGTCCCATCTCTTTGTGGTGTCTTTTGGGACCATTGCCGGTATTTACTTTTTCTCCTCCTCATCCATCTCCAATGATAAAAACATAATTGTTTCTGTGATGTATATGGCAGTTGCCCTCATGCTGAACCCCTTCATCTACAGTCTGAGGAACAGAGATATGCAACATGCCCTAGAAATATTTGTTAATAGGGTTAAGTTCTTTAACTCACAATCACTCAACGTATAAAAATTACACATTCAAATGAACAAGGAAACCATTAAAGCTGAGTAAACATTCTGAGTGTCCAGTTGAATTTGGCCTGCACATACAGCTCAGGGAGGTTGACCTTTCCCATGTCCCTCTCTGCTGACAGACTGACTTCAATGATTCTGACACTTTCTTAACAATTTTTAGAGCACATGATGCCTTATTCCAACATGCACAGGGATTGGTGAGGGAAGGGGAGCAGTGAGGATGCCAACTGGCAGGAGTGAGGAAGGAAGTTCCTCCAGTCTCACCACCTCCAAGAGAATTCTGTCTTTCTTCCTTGTCTTCCCAGGGTTAAGAGAAGGAGGCAGCTAAAAAGAGCATCACAGAAAATTTTGCTCACATAAATCGAACTTACAATTTTAAATATCTTACATTCTCACAATAAACTTTCAATAACTCTTAACTTCATCTCCTTAAAAGTATGGGAGATAAAAACAACAACCAACAAACACATAGAGACAGAGATTGGATTGGTGGTCACCAGAGAGGAAGCGGGGAGGGAGGAGGGTGAAAGGGATAATTAGGCACATGTGTATGATGATGGATTGTAATTAGTATTTGGGTGGTGAACATGAGAATATGATGTAATCTATGCAGAAATAGAAGTATAATGATGTACGTCTGAAGTTTATACAATGTTATAAACCAATGTTACCACAATAAAAATAAATAAATTAAAAAATTAAAAAAAAAGTATGGGTTCATATGAGTTTGTCTACCTTTAATAAATAGGTAGAAATGACGTGATTTTGAAAATGTGCTGTTTTATTCAATATTTTAGTTAATTCTAAGAAAGGTATGTGAGAAAGTCTTCCGGGGTGCTAGAAAAGTTCTATGTATTGATCCTGGCGCCAGTTACAATGGATGGGTAGGTATGTAAAAATTCATCAGGCCAAACATTTCAGACTTATGCACTTAGTGTATGCATGCTAGACATTAGCACAAAAAGGTAAGAAGGAGGAAATACAACAAACCATGACTATGATTTTCTTTTTTTTTTTTTAAATTGCTGGTAAATTTTATTTATTTATTTATTTTTACTTTTGTTTATTGCAGTAACATTGGTTTACAACATTGCATAAATTTCAGGTGTACATCATTATACTTCTATTTCTGCATAGATTACATCATGTTCACCACCCAAACACTAATTACAACCCATTACCACACACATGTGCTGAATTATCCCTTTCACCCTTCTCCTCCCACCTTTCCCTCTGGTGACCACTAATCCAATCTCTGTCTCTATGTGTTTGTTGGTTGTTGTTATTATCTACTACTTAATGAAGGAAATCATACGGTATTTGACCTTCTCCCTTTGAGTTATTTCACTTTGCATAATACTCTCAATGTCCATTCATGTTGTCACAAATGGCTGGATTTCATTGTTTCTTATGGCTGAGTTATATTCCATTGTGTATATATACCACATCTTCTTTATCCATTCGTCCCTTGATGGGCACTTAGGTTGCTTCCAAGTCTTGGCTATTGTGAATAACGCTGCAATGAACACAGGGGTGCATGTATCTTTACACATTGGTGTTTTCAAGTTCTTTGGATAAATACCCAGCAGGGGAATAGCTGTATCATAAGGTAGTTCTATCCTTGATTTTTTGAGGAATCTCCATACTGTTTTCCATAGTGGCTGCACCAGTTTGCACTCCCACCAGCAGTGTATGAGAGTTCCCTTCTTTCCACATCCTCTCCAACACATGTTGTTTCCTGTCTTGTTAATTATAGCCATTCTGATGGGTGTGAGGTGATATCTCATTGTAGTTTTGATTTGCATTTCCCTGATAGTTAATGATGTTGAACATCTTTTCATGTGTCTGTTGGCCATCTGTATATCTTCTTTGGAGAAATGTCTGTTCAGGTCTTTTGCCCATTTTTTAATTGGGTTGTTAGTTTTTTTGTTGTTGAGATGCATGAGTTCTTTATATATTTTGGAAATTAAGCCCTTATCAGATGTATGTTTTGCAAATATCTTCTCCCAATTGTTAGGTTGTCTTTTTGTTTTGTTGATGGTTTCCTTTGCTGTGCAGAAGCTTTTTAGTTTGATGTAGTCCCATTTGTTTATTTTTTCTATTGTTTCTCTTGCTTGGCATGACTATGATTTTCTAAGTGAAAGTGAAAAAAATATATATAATGAATGTCTATATATGTGTGTGTGTGTGTGTGTGTGTGTGTGTGTGTATAAATAAAATGAATTTCATTGTCCTGGTGAGGAGATGCTCCCATTTTTCCTACTTGTTTTTTGTTTCCTCTCTAATATTTTCTGTCTTTTTTTACATCATAATTCACTTAAATAAAACTTAGTAAAGCAGACCTTTACCAACAGAAACACTAATGGGAATTCTTTAGGCAGAGGGAAAGTAATTATAGGATAAACTTAAAAATTCAGAGATATTTGTAAGATTGGTAAATACAAAAACAAATACTGAATGAACTAAAAAACACCAATAACAACAACATCCTATGGGGATTATCTGAGTAATCCTGTGGCCACACTTCTTTGAAAATAAATTAGGAAACTCAGTAGAATTAGATAACTTCACAGGGAAATACGTATTACCAAATTTGACTCCTTATAATATGGAAAGTCTAAACACATCAATTTATGTAGAATAAATGGAGAAAGCTATTAAGCAACTACTCCATAAAACAGATACAAGTCCATACAGTTTCATAGGGAATTCTATTAACTGTCAAATACCTGATAATCTGAATACAGCATGAATTGTTCCACAGCATTGAAAATAAAGGAAAACATCTTATTTTATGGATGAAACAAACACAACATTGATGTGTAAGCATGATAAAGAAGTAGAAAAATAAAATTTCAAGTTGACGGTACTTATGAAAATTCATGCAAATGCAATAAAATATCAGCAAGTAAAATCCAACACCACATTAATAAAATAATACACATCACCAAGTGGGATTTTTCCAGGAATTTGAAGTTGGTTCAATATTATCAAATCTTTAATATAATACAACATATTAATATATCTTAGGTTAAAAGCCATATAACTCTCTCCATCAATGCTGAAAAAGACCTCAACAGAATTTGATAACACTCAAGAAAAAAACAATTGATTGATTCCCTCTTACTAAAATATATTTTTTGCATGAACTATATATGATACACAAATATCTTTTTATTATGTTAAATTATGTATATTATTATGCATAATAAATATATGTTTAGATATCATGTATATTTCATAAAATATATTATATATTTTATTATGTATATTTCGATATATAATAAAAATATTTATTCTTTGGTTATATGGCCAACATCTGACTTAACAGGGAACTATTAGTGGCATTTCCTTTAAGATCAGGATCAAAAGCGTAATGCTCACTAATCAACATTGTGGTGAAAAGATTAGCCAATGCAACTAGATTAATGACATCAATCAAAGTCATAATAATTGGAAAAGAAGAAGTAAAATCTTCCGATGACTTTGTTATACGTACTTTAAAGACAGAAAAAGACATTCTGAAAGCAGAAATTGTATGGAGTACTGTAGCTGCATAATCAGTTCAAGAGAATGCAAGTAGTTGTCAGGAGTTAGACATTTGTCAATCCTGCCTCATTTCTCCTGGATCTTTCTTCACCAGCAAACTCACATCTTGGCAGACTAAACTCCCTGTTTGCCAGTTCCTACATTTTTAGAATTCAATCTGAATATGAAATGGGTCATACCTAAACAGACCCCGCCATGTCCAATTGCCTTCCAAAAATTGACAGTTGTGTGTCATCGTCACAGTTAAATTGATTTGGGTTCAATACCCTGGTGTTGTGTTTCTGTGATGTAATCTGATTTACAGCATCTCTCCCGTAATCTACCACATTCCCATTGTGCAATTACTGTTTTAAAATGAAGTTTTACTTCATTTCTTTGTTTAGGCCCTCTTTTTGAGTTTCTGTTTGTAGTACTTTATTGAGTAAACCTCTCACCTAGACTCAGCCCAACATGATTATTCAATTTTCCCTGCAAAAATATTGGTGTTCTGCCTTTGAATTCAAGCTCATGCCCTGCTCCATTGGGATAAGTATCCAGGTGTGAAATGTTTGAAAGAGTCTTTTTTTTTTTTTTTTTAACTCTATAACCCCAGTCATTATGCCACACTGGGCATGGTATTTGGACCAGGATGACACCTGTTTTTCTGAATTCACATGAGAGATTGCAACATCTTTGTAGGTCATTCCTGTTGCAGAGGAGTCTCTGCCACAATGAGGCTGCCTCTCCAACCTGTCAATGACTACTCCTAGGCCCCTGGCCCTTCCTTTCTCTCCCTTCTTGTCTTATTTGAATAAATTTCCTCCAAATCTCCAGAAAAGGCATATAAAATTTTAAAGAATGTTCTTTCTTAAGGTGTTAATAACGAAAGTCAGTTATTTCACACCAGTCGATCATCTAAAGCAATTAATAGGTTCAATTTTTATAATTAAAATTTTAGCTTTTATATCATTATTCTCCAGGTGACAAAGATATCTCTGAATTGATGTCGAATGATCTCCAGGATATATTGTTAATGTATAAAAGCTTTGTGTCTGAGAGTCTCTGTTGCATGCTATCCTTTGTGTAAAAATGAAAGAGAAATAAAACATACGTGTATCTGCTCATTTGAGCAAGAAGGAGCACAGGAAGAAGTCAGAGACTAATGAATTTGGTTTCCTGCAAGGGCTGGAGGGGAGTGTGTAGGAGGTATGGGAAGATGAGTGTGCCTGTTTGTAGGTTTTGACCAGGTTATCTTTTACCTGCTCAAAAATAAATAAACAAAAAGAATGGGAAACAAAAAAAATAGAATAAAAACAAAAATTAACAATTGTATTTCAAATGAATAACATGATTAGACTGAAAAAGAAATTTAACTAATCCTAGTAAACTTGGAACTCAATATTTTTTCTATATATCCTCACAATAAAGAAAAAAATATAAAAAATTTGGGCTGCAGTTAGTAGT